TTAACTGGAGTTATTTTGGAAGAACTAACTTTCTCAACAGTTCCCTCTTTGCACCTTTATAGTCTTTCAGGTCCTTTGGTTCTTTTAATTTTCATAGTCAATGGAAACTCATCTGATAATACAGCTTAAAGTTGTTTACCTGAATTCAAATCCTAGCTTCACCATTTTCTCACAGTATTACCTTGGGAAGGTTATTTAACCTTTCTAAACCTGTTTCTTCATCTGTAAAATGATTTAATTACAGTATCTTACTTAAAAGATTTTTATGAGACTGAAATGAGATACTATATACAAGGTTTCTATCATAGTCTCTAACATATTCCATAAATATTAACTAGTACTGTTTTTATTGTTTGCTTGATATCTCAGAAATACCTTGATGTTTTTGTTCTGCTGATGGTATTTTCCTAGTTTCCCACCATTTCTCTCAATATATTCTGATTTCTATTTTTTTATTTTATTTAATTTGGATTTTGAGTGGGAGGGAGGAAGTAAATATATGTGCTCAGCCACTTAGGAAGATCCCAGGCTGGAATTTAAATTACCTGTTGGTAAGGACTTTGCCCTTTTTCCCCTGCCCTTACCTCCACCCATGTGGCGTGTGTCTTTACCCCCAACTGGTACTCGGTAAATACTTGTTTAATTAAATAGTTAATGGATGGTTAAAAAAATTACATAATTAGTTGATTTGAAATACTTAGAATCCTGAGACATTTTCAGAATTGATTGCTACACATCCAGTGTCAACTTCTTACCAAGTCTTCTGTCAAAGATGATGGTCCTTGAGCAGGAATGGGTTTGCTGTTCCAGGAGTCTGTCACGTTCAGGGATGTGGCCGTGCTCTTCAGCCAGGACGAGTGGTCGCACCTGGACTCTGCCCAGAGAACCTTGTACCGGGAGGTGATGCTGGAGAACTACAGAAACCTGGTCTCACTGGGTAAGAATTTTTGCATATAATGAAGAGTCTGTTATGGGAACATCTTGCAGCTCCATCCTTGGGGTTGAGTCTGCAGTTTTCTCCCCTTTGTACCCCTGGGAAAGGTCAAATTGCTGTAGAGTTGCAAATATACGTTTTTGTTGGCGATGCCCTTTTTGCTATTATTTTCTCCTTCCTCTGCCCTCTGTATGCTCCATCCCCAATCAAAGTTTCCTCCTTGGAGTATGCCAATGGAGTATGCCAATGACTAGATCCCCATTGAAATTCTGAAAAACATAGAGGAGGAACACCCCATCTTAGAAGTATTCACTGCCAGGGCCTTACATTGTTTCTGAACTGAGACCTTCCTCCTGATGCACACGCTGAAAGCTCCAACGCCCTCAGAACTGCTGGTGTTGCTCACTCTGCCGCCCAGCACTGCTTTCTTTGCCTTGTAGGTTCAGAGTGAGTGCTGCGTCGGTGCTGGGATTGCTCTTCGTGCCATTAGTTCAAACTCCATTTCTTTCCTTGTGAGCAGGGATTCCGTTTCCAATGCCAAAGGTGATCTGCCAGTTGCAACAAGGAGAGGATCCCTGCACTGTGGAAGGAGAAGTCCCTTCAGACACCTATATAGGTGAGTGAGAGACCCAGAAATGGGCACAAGGGAGTCTTCTTAGATGAGCAGGTCACGAGGAGGCAGTACTCTGGAAACTTTCTTGGAAGGACTGAGCTTTGTTGAGATTCTCAGGGCCAGTTAGGTATAATTTAAGTTGTGTAAATTATATTAAGTATACACAAATACCTAATTGTAATGATCTAGTTTTAATCTATTTTCAATTATGGATTGATTAAATAAAACCAGGTTTTAACCCAGAGTACCTTGAAATCAGCTGAAGCTAAATCTTTTCACCTAGAATTGGAACAGAGCTTGGGGCTTGGGCATGTTTCAGAAATTTAGGACATTGACTTCAGATGTCTTACAAATTTTCATTATTTTCAAAAGATTCCTACATAGAGAGTGCAGTCTTCTGGTTATAGCTTATCAGAAGAAATGAGTATGTCTGTTTCTCCTCATGGTCAAATAAAAAGGGGAAAAGCG